TTGCCCCTCTAGACGGAGTCTTGCTTTATTGCCCATGCTGGAGTGCAGTGATTCTATCTCGATTCACTGCAAACTCTGCCTCCCGGGTTCAAGCAATTCTTCCCAGCCTCCTAAGTAACTGGGATTACAGGCGCACACCACCACGCCCAGCTAATTTCTGTATTTTTTATGAGAGATGGGGTTTTCCCATGTTGGCCAGCTGGCCACTCCTGATCTTGTGATCTGCCCGCCTAGGTCTCCCAAAGTGTTCGGATTACAGGCATGAGGCACACTGCGCCGGGCCCTGAACTGGTTTTGAACCCTGGCTAGAACCCATACTTATTTACTAAACGCAACTGTGCTTAACATGATGAGAACATCGGCCTTGGAGGTAAAAAGCTGGCATAGGCTGGGCGCGGTGGCTCAAGCCTGTAATCCCAGCACTTTGGGAGGCCGAGGCGGGTGGATCACGAGGTCAAGAGATCGAGACCATCCTGGTCAACATGGTGAAACCCCGTCTCTACTAAAAATACAAAAAATTAGCTGAGCATGGTGGCGCGTGCCTGTCATCCCAGCTACTCAGGAGGCTGAGGCAGGAGAATTGCCTGAACCCAGGAGGCGGAGATTGTGGTGAGCCGAGATCGCGCCATTGCACTCCAGCCTGGGCAACAAGAGCGAAACTCCGTCTAAAAAAAAAAAAAAAAAAAAAGCTGGCATAGCCTAGTGTGGCGGCTCATGCCTGCAATCCCAGCACTTTGGGAGGCCAAGGCGAGCAGATGATGAGGTCAGGAGTTCGAGACCGGCGTGATATCAACATGGAGAAACCCCGTCTATCCTAAAAATACAAAAAATTAGCTGGGCATGGTGGCGCGTGCCTGTCATCCCTGCTACTCAGGAGGCCGAGGCAGGAGAATCGCTTGAACCTGGGAGGCAGAAGTTGTGGTGAGCCAAGGTCGTGCCATTGCACTCCAGCCTGGACAACAAGAGGGAAACTCCATCTCAAAAAAAAAAAAACAAAACAAAAACAACCCTGGCATAGATGTCAAAGAGGTCTGTGCTTGGGTAGCCCATGTCCTTTTCATAGGTAAGGGCAGGTAAGTAACTCATAGCCGGCTTTATTTTGGCGCTCAGACTTCTCTTTAACCAGTGGTTCCAGATTTCTGGATTCGACAGAAAAAGCAAGAAAACAAATGAAAGCCAGGTTTCCATAGAGTTGCAGCTTTTAATTTATGCTCCCTAAGATCATGCAGAGCCAGGCATGGTGGCTCACGCCTGTAATCTCAGCACTTTGGGAGGTGGAGGCCAGCAGATCACCTGAGGTCAGGAGTTTGAGACCAGCCTGGCCTACATGGAGCAACTCTGTCTCTACTAAAAATACAAAAATTAGCCAGGCATGGTGGCGTGTGCCTGTAGTCCCAGATACTCAGGAGGCTGAGGCAGGAGAATTGCTTGAACCTGGGAGGTGAAGGTTGCAGTAAGCTGAGATGGCACCATTGCACTCCAGCCTGGGCAACAAGAACAAAACCCAGAAAAGAAAGAAAGAAAACAGCATGCATGCAGAACATACCTACCATCTATTATCACCATCATTAAAGAAAATACTTTTTTTTTTTTGAGACAGGGTCTGGCTCTGTCACCCAGGCTGGAGTGCAGTGGTGTGATCTCGGCTCACTGCAACCTCTGCCTCCCAGGCTCAGGCAGTCCTACTGCCTCAGCCTCTAGAGTAGCTGGGGTTACAGGCACGCACCACCTCACCCAGCTAATTTTTGTATATTTTGTAGAGCGGGGTTTTCGCCGTGTTGTTGAGGGGGTTTCACTTGAGCCCAGCTCAGGCTCAAAATCCTGGGCTCAAGCGATCCACCTGCCTCAGCCTCCCACAGTGCTGAGATTACAAGTGTTAGCCACCATGCCTGACCTAAGAAAATACATTTTAATTCTTCTCAAAATAGGAATGACAACATCTGAATCAAAAACAATTAGTCCCGGCTGGGCGTGGTGTCTTATGCCTTTAATTCCAGCACTTTGGAAGGCCAAGGTGGGTGTACTGCCTGAGCTCAGGAGTTCAAGACCAGACTGGGCAACATGGCAAAATCCTGTCTCTACCAAAAATATAAAAAATTAGCCAGCTACTTGGGAGGCTGAGGCAAGAGGATTGCTTCAGTCTGGAAGCAGAGGTTGCGGTGAGCCAGGATCGCTTCACTGTGCTCCAACGTGGGTGACAGAGTGAGAGACCCGCTTCTCAAAAAAAGGAAAACAATTATTACCAAGAAAAGATGGTTAACGGATTTTAAACCAACAAATAGACATTTCTTTGTCTTTTTTGTTGTTGTACTGTGGACTAGTGAAAATGTCACTCTGGGAATGACTTGCCTCTAATCTCGGAATCATTTGAGAGCAGAACCAGAAGAAAAGCGCTTTAGGTGTGGCAAGATGGAGTTAGGTTGCAGCCAAGAAAGAACATTTTTTGGAAGTTTTTTTTTTTTTTTTTGAGACAAAGCTTCATTCTTGTTGCCCAGGCCGGAGTGCAATGGTGCCATCTCAGCTCACTGTAACCTCCGCAGTCCCAGGTTCAAGTGATTCTCCTGTCTCAGCCTCCTGAGTAGCTGGGATTACAGGCACGCACCACCATATCCAGCTAATTTTGTATTTTTAGTAGAGACGGGGTTTCTCCATGTTGGTCAGGCCGGTCTGGTGATCTGCCCACCTTGGCCTCCCAAAGTGTTGGGATTACACTTGGGAGTAAAAAAAAGGCGCTTGGCGTTTTTTTTTTTTTTTTTTTTTTTAGATGGAATCTCGCTCTATCGCCAGGCTGGAGTACAGTGGTGCAATCTCACCTCACTGCAACCTCTGCCTCCCAGGCTCAAGCAATTCTCCTGCCTCAGCCTCCCGAGTAGCTGGCACTACAGGCATGCACCACCACGCACAAATAATTTCTGTATTTTTAGTAGAGACAGGGTTTCACCATGTTGACCAGGATGGTCTCAATCTCTTGACCTCGTGATCTGCCTGCCTCGGCTTGCCAGAGTGCTGTGACTACAGGCATGAGCCACCGCACCTGGCCTGGAGGTCTTTAAAGAACAGGTGAGCATCACATGTGCTTAGGAAGCAAGGGTTGCAGAATCAGCTCCATGGGATGGAGGGGCCAGTAACTCTGGGTCCCACCCTGGAGAAGGGCAGAGCAAGACCTTGTTTTGAGGGATTTATTCTCAGATCCACCAAAGTAGCCTTGGAATCTACATGACACAGTTCCCGTCAGGCAGTCGTTTTCTGCCCGGAATTCAGTAGAGAGGCGACGGGATTGCGTGGCAGTAGGGAGGCTTCCATGGGCTTCTACTCACCCTTCACTGCAGGGAGTCCGTGTAGTCACCCACCTTGGGGCTGAGTGCTGGGAATGACCCTTGAGGTGGGCTGAGGATGGAAGAGAGCAGGGGAAGAGAATGGTCACCCAGGACTGTTGCTTGTTTACTGCCTGCTGCCTAGGGTGTAATGGGCTACGGGTCTGCGTGGGCAGGCCTGGCTGGCCACAGCCTCATTGGAAATGCTGTTTTCCTGTTTCCCTACCGCCCTCCATCCTGGGTGCAGCCCAGGGTCCAGAGCCTTCTGCTCCATTTCTCCCAAAAAGGGCTCAGGACCAGGTAGGTGAACACCTGCTCTGGGGCAGCGTGCTCAGCACTGGCTATGCGCCTGGCCCTAGTTTGGAGCTTGCCAATTGCCTGTTCTGTAACAGAAAGTGGGGTCAGAGGGTGTGGGGAGACCCTGCTGGGGAAGAGAGAAGAGTCTGGTCTCACCTGCCCCATCTTAGTGGTGAGGATCAAGGCCTCTACAGGTGGGCTCACATCTGGGATGGTGGCATCTTCTGACTCCAGAGGACTTCCCAAGCCTCATCTCATCTGTGGGGAGGCTGGGAGGTAGTACTTCCAGATTTAGTTGAAAGGCACAGCTTTACCCACATTTTAATCCTGGAGTTTCAGAATGGTAAATTTGAATCCCTTTAGGTTACAAATGCAGAAACAGACTAAGGAAAAGGCGATCCCTTTCTCCACCAAGATCATTCTGGTTAGATGGGTCCGGAGCCCCAGTTACTCGACTCTGTCACTGTTCTGCCCTCAAGTTCTTAAAGAATGACAGAACACAACTTAAACCACCTGCTAAGTACCCGATTCTATGTTGGATGCAGGAGATGCAAAGATAGCTACCCTCAAGAGCTTTATGTCAAACAGGGAAATGCCAGGGCAACACTGGCAACGCTGGAAAAGGGTGGATTTGCCGCAGAGTCTGTGCATGTTTCTAAGATGCTCCCCTTCTTTTCATCCTCTGATGCGGGGAGGGAACCCTACCTGAAGAAACACCCCAGGACCCAGGGAAAGATTTAGGGTGCAGAGATCACAGATGGGAGGGCCAGGGAAGTAAAGGAACAGGGCTGTCAGTGGGCTCACGCCAAACACCTGTCCCAGAAATGCCCTAAGGCCCCAGCCCAGAAATGGACCTCTGCTTCCCTCTAGTGGGGGAAAGGCAACCTCTGGAGCTGCTTGCCAGGGCTCCACCAACCTTGCTCCGTTAAAGAACAGGGGATGTGAAGGACCTTCTGCCCTCTCCCTCTTTTTTTTTTTTGAGACAGAGTCTTGCTCTGTTGCCTGTGTTGGACTACCATGGTACATTGGCTCACTGCAACCTCTACCTCCCAGGCTCAAGCAATTCTCCTGCCTCAGCCTCCCAAGTAGCTGTGATTACATGTGTGCACCACCGCGCCTGGCTAATTTTTTTGTATTTTTAGTACAGATTGGGTTTCACCATGTTCGCCAGGCTGGTCTTGAACTCCTGAACTCAAGTGGTCTGCCCGCCTCAGCCTCCCAAAGTGCAGGGATGATAAATATGGGGCCACTGCACCTGGCCCCATCTCTTTTCAAACACCCCTGGCTGCCCCATTTCCTGACCACTGCTCTCCATCCCATCATCTCCCCAGTTTCCTTTGTTGCCTGGGTTCCGATTCTCGTACCCTGGTTCCTGACCCTGCCAGAGTTCTGGTTCCGGAAGGCCCCCTACAGGTACCTTGGGCCTAGCTCTCACCCAGGCCCAGGGCAACACTGAAGACATGGGCAAGAGCATCCCCCAATACCTGGGACAGCTGGACATCTATAAGAGTGTAGTAAGCCTGGCCACAGGTGCTGGGGCGATCTACCTGCTCTACAAGGCCATCAAGGCTGGCATAAAATGCAAGCCACCCCTCTGTAGCAACTCGCCCATCTGCATCGCCCGTGAGTGTCCAGTCCCTGGGGAGAGGGCTCTGCCCCAGGAGGCACCTGCTCCCGAGGCCTCTGCTGTGGGAGGGCCCAAAGGTGATGCCTCCAAGTTCTGCTTCCCTTCGTCTTTCTCTTCTCCATCTTCCTCTAGCCCACCCTGCAGTGTCCTAGCAAGGCCCTGCTAAAGATGCTAGCTCAGGGGCCCTGGATCTCACTCAAGTGGATCCTCAGACTCATCTGGTAGATCTCCAACTACTACTTCACTCTGGCTTCTTGGAAACTTCAGCAGCTCCTCCCATCCCTTTTTTGCCGAAGAGCTTGAGGCTTTAAGGAAAGGGAAAATTGGCGGACTGACTGTATGACCAGAGCTTCCACTAGTCCATATGGTACTTTTGTGTAGAGTAGGAAGATGAACCCCTTTTACAAGACTCTTTATTGCCATCTGCTGGAATATTGTTGCCATATACTGGTAATGATGAAATACTGCTTGTTACCACCATATGCCAGACAATTGTTAGAGTAAATGGCCAAATCTATGCTGTTATGTTACAGACAATACAACGTAAGATAGGGTGCCCTTGGGCCGTAAACATTCATTCAGCTGTACATGGTGGTCCTGCCTATGGTGAGAAAGCTTCTCTGAAAAGGCAAGGCAGCTTTGTCCCCAGGTCCCTGTCCCCTACTTCCCAACCCCATTCTTTTCATCATGTCTGAGTCCACAGCCTGAACTGGGCTGGGGTGGCTGTCTAGGCCTGGCAGTCGAGCGAGAGCGGCACGGGCGGGACTCAGGTGAGCTCCGGAGGCTCCTCAACTCTTTGGAGTGCAAACAGGATGAGTACGCCAAGAGCATGATCCTGCACAGTATCACTCGCTGTGTGTACTTGTTGGAGGCTGAGGTGAGGGAAGGGAAGCAGGAGGTCCCCGCTAGCCAGCCTGGCCCCTGGGGGTTACGGCCGATCCCTGCCCCTGGACTGGCCAGACTGTATTCTGGGACCTGTCTCTTTTGGGCTGATAGCGGGAGGGGTGTGCTGAGGGATCTTGGTGACGGGAGGGGTGGGGGTGGGGGGGCAGTGGGCCCAGAACACCCGCTTCTCCTGCCTCTTCCATCTCTCCCCACATACTCCAGGCCTCTGCTTGTACGACGGATGACATCGTGTTGGTGGGTTACATGCTGGATGACAGGGACAACAGTGTCAAAACCCAAGCTCTGAATACACTTAAAGCTTTCTCTGGCATCAGAAAATTCAGGCTCAAAATCCAGGTGAGCCCAGGGCGAGTGGTGGGGCAGGCAGGAGGTCTATAATCCTTAAGTCCTTTAATTGGCGTAGGATAAATGTTCCAGAAATTTGTTTGGGTGTGAATTTGTAACCCCAAAAATAAGTGGGAAAACTGTGGTCAGATTTCCAGCAGGGTCATGAGGCCTTTGAATTTTAGGATGAAACTGAACTGAGGCACTAGTGGTATCTCTGAGCCCCAAATAACAGAACCCCCCCCAACTACCCCCAAGCTCCCTGCCACTGCCATGTTCTTTCTGACAGCAACCAATTCCCGACACTGGCTGGTTGTTCAACAGTTTAATTCGGTTCAGACACTAACTATCCATAGTTAGATCAGACCTCACAGGTTAAGGGCTGAGTCCCCCAAAGCTTCCCCCCAACTTCAGGTACCCGTCACAGGTCTGACTTCTGGCCTGCCGTGAATTTGGGGGTTCCCACAACTCCCTTTTTAGATTTAGTAATTTGTTAGAATGGCTCACAGAACTCAGGAAGGGACTTTACTTACAATTACTGGTTTTTTGTTTTTTTTTTTATAAAGGACATAGGGGCCGGGCATGGTGGCTCAAGCCTGTAATCCCAGCACTTTGGGAGGCCGAGGCGGGTGGATCACGAGGTCGAGAGATCAAGACCATCCTGGTCAACATGGTGAAACCCCGTCTCTACTAAAAACACAAAAAATGAGCTGGGCATGGTGGCGCGTGCCTGTAATCCCAGCTACTCAGGAGGCTGAGGCAGGAGAATTGCCTGAACCCAGGAGGCGGAGGTTGCGGTGAGCCGAGATCGCGCCATTGCACTCCAGCCTGGGTAACAAGAGCGAAACCCCGTCTCAAAAAAAAAAAAAAAAAAAAAAAAAGGACATAGGAACAGCCAAATGGAGGAGACACATGGGGCAGGGTGTTGGGGAGGACGCACGGAGCTTCCGGGCCTGTTCCCGGACCAAACTGAGGGTCTGGCTGCTACTTCTTGTGGCCCAATAATGAGATGCAGATGAACTGGGGAGGAAGACGTGTTTATTTCTGTAACCACTTACAGGGAGAAAGCTTGGAAATTATCGCCATACCAACTCAAAATTACCAAGTTTTTCAGAGCTTATATACCTTCTAAGCTATATGTCTGTGTGTAGGTGTGCATTCATCTAAAGACATGATTAACGTCTTCTGATCTATAGCTAAGGTCTGAGTCCTGAAGACCTTCCTCTGGAGCCTCAGTAAATTTACTTAATCTTAGTGGGTCCAGGTGCTGGGGTGATTACCCTTATTTTGTCTCCTGCTAAATCAGGGAGGTTTGAGGTGTTCCTTCAGACCCCCAATAAACTTGTTTGTGGAGACCTTGGGGAGCCTCTTCAGACCCCCAGTAAAACTTGTTTAATCCTGGGCCGGGCGCGGTGGCTCAAGTCTGTAATCCCAGCACTTTGGGAGGCCGAGGCGGGTGGATCGCGAGGTCGACAGATCGAGACCATCCTGGTCAACATAGTGAAACCCCGTCTCTACTAAAAATACAAAAAATTAGCTGGGCATGGTGGCTCGTGCCTGTAATCCCAGCTACTCAGGAGGCTGAGGCAGGAGAATTGCCTGAACCCAGGAGGTGGAGGTTGCTGTGAACCGAGATCGCGCCATTGTACTCCAGCCTGGGTAACAAGAACAAAACTCCGTCTCAAAAAAAAAAAAAACTTGTTTAATCCTAAATGGGTCCTATTAAGAATTCTTTCATTATTTTGTCATGCTTTAAGGCCCAGGAAAGGCCCAGGCAAAACTCTTGGTGAGCTTCTGTTATACTCCAGGCTTTGTATGAGGTCGCTGGCTTTTAACATTTAACTTAACCAGGCAGTCAGTACTAAAACAGTTGTTAGGGAGGTCTACTACAGGCCCACTTGAGGAGCACCCTGCTGTTCCCAGCACCTCCACACGTTCAACAACCGGAAGCTCTTCGAACCCCGTTAAACATTTTTATTACATAGTCTTGAGGAATTAAGTCATGTGCAGCTGCTCACACGTCCCCAGAAGTTGGGGGTGAAGCTGACCCCAGCCTTCTAATCATGCCTTGGTCTTTCTGGTAACCGGCAGCTATCCAAGGGCCCTGCCTGGGGTCACCCCTCATTAGCATAAGCTCTGTTGTGACCAAAAAGGACTGGTTTGCAATAACAAAGGACGCGGCTGTCACTCAGGAAATTCCAAAGGTTTCAGGAGCTCGGTTCCTGGAACTAGGGACAAAGATCAGACGTATTTTTTTGCACTCCATCCCCCATGCCTGTGTTGATCAGAGGTTGGTGTCCGGGCCACGGATTCCTTCTCCACTACTCCGTAGAGAAAATACAAAACACTACATGTCATTTCCCCATTTCCCCGTTATCATGCCCCCAGACTTACTGTATCCACACCCATCCTCCCTGCTTTCCTGCCGGTGCCATGAAAAAATGGCTTTCTCCCGGTCTGTGGCCAGTGATAGTCTCAATCCTGCCTCCCATCCCTTCCTTGAGGGCCTCTCTGATTGCTTATGCCCTCTACCGCTGGCAGTCTCCCACACTCCCCGTCAGCACGCAGTAGGCTCCAACCCCTCCCATCTTATGTAAAACTTGGGAATAGTGTATATGTGTAAGGTAGAAAGAATAACAATAAAACCGAACATGCCCAGGCCAAGAAATAGAGCACAGCCCCTTCCACATCTCAGCTGCCTCCCCCACCAGAGGCAGCCATTGGCCTGTATTTTGTTTAGAGTTCTGAATTTTCTTTGTAGGATTACCATATGTGTATGTATCCCTGCGTACTCTAGCAGGGCACGGCAGATAATAAAGAGGTAAAATATAGTCTGGTATGTTTTTAAGCTTCACGTACGTGGAAATGGATGGTTTCTTTTCTGTGGTTGGCCTTTTCTCCCTGCTGTGTTGAGAGGTTCATCCTTATTGGGCAGCTCTCCTTTCTTTTTTTTCCTTTTTTTTTTGAAACAGAGTCGTGCTCTGTCACCCAGGCTGGAGTGCAGTGGTGCGATCTTGGCTCACTACAACCTCCACCTCCCAGCTTAATTCTTGTGCCTCAGCTTCCAGAGTAGCTGGAATCACAGGTGTGCACCAGCATGCCTGGCTAATTTTGTTTTATATTTTCAGTAGAGACAGGGTTTCACCCTGTTGGCCAGGCTGGCCTTGAACTCCTGGCTTCAAACGATTCGTCTGCCTCGGCCTCTCAAAGTGCTGGGATTAGACATGAGCCACCATGCCCGGTCCACATTTTAATTTTTGGCATCAAACTTTTTTGGGGAAAAAATTCTTTTGATATATATCCTCAAAATATGCTCACTATGATGACATATCAACAAAAGTAAACACACAAAAGATTAAAAGTAGATTGAGAAACAAGCAGATAAAGAGACCTAGAGACATCTCCACTTGCTGCCTCATCCCTCACATCCTTCAGCCTTCTCAAGGGCAGTGGTGCAATCTTGGCTTACTGCAACCTCTACCTCCAGGGCTCAAGTGATCCTCCCACCTTAACCTCCCTCATAGCTGGGATTACAGGCATGCACCAATATGCCAGGCTAATTTTTGTACTTTTTGTAGAGGTGGGGTTTTGTAGAGGTGAGGTTTTGCCACATTGCCCAGGCTGGTCTCGAACTCCTGAGCTCAAGTGATCCACCTGCCTCAGCATCCCAAAGTGCTGGGACTGTGGGTGTGACCCACCTTGCCTGGTCAGGCTGGGATTCTCAAGCATATCATAATCACCTGATGACTTGTTAAAAGCAAAGATTTTGGCTGGACGTGGTGGCTCACACCTGTAATCCCAACACTTTGGGAGGCTGAGGCAGGTGGATTGCCTGAGGTCAGGAGTTCAGTACCAGCCTAGCCAGCATGGTGAAACCCCATCTCGGATAAAAATACAAAAGTTAGCCAGGCGCGGTGGCTCAAGCCTGTAATCCCAGCACTTTGGGAGGCCGAGGCGGGTGGATCACGAGGTCGAGAGATCGAGACCATCCTGGTCAACATGGTGAAACCCCGTCTCTACTAAAAATACAAAAATTAGCTGGGCATGGTGGCGTGTGCCTGTAATCCGAGCTACTCAGGAGGCTGAGGCAGGAGAATTGCCTGAACCCAGGAGGCGGAGGTTGCGGTGAGCCAAGATCGCACCATTGCACTTCAGCCTGGACAACAGAATGAGACTCCATCTCAAAAAAGAAAAAGAAAAGAAAAAAACAAGGCAAAGATTTTGGGACCCCATGCCTGGAGAATTCAGTTCAACAGGAGAATGTTGTTTTTCACAAATCCCTCAGGAAATTCTGATGCAGGCGGCCTGAGCCCTACTCTTCCTTTTCCCCAAGGTCTGTATCCTGAGGACCTGACCCCTGGTCTCTTTCCAGGTGAAAGTAGTTACTCTCTGAATCTCAATTTCCATCTAGTTGTGCCCTTCTGGATCTCGGCACCCTGTCGGCTCCCCTCCCTTCCCCATAGCCAGCTGCTACTAGGCATATCCGCTTAGATACCCTCTAATTCGACACATCCAAAATGGAGCTCACCCTATTCCCTAAGTCAGGCCACTCTCTCCCGAGGGCTCTTAGGCCATCAGGCCCTTTGGGTGTGCCTCGAGGTTCTCAGTATTAAGTGCAAGATTGGTGATGGGCTGCACCTCCTTGCCCTAACCCCAACCACGTACACTGCCTGCTTCATGCTCTCACATGCTCCCATGCATCTGCTATTCCCTTGTTCTGAAACCCTGCCCCGGACTTGCTGACTCCAACCTGTCCTGCAGGTCTCCACGGCTCGTGAGGGGTGGGGGCAGGGAAGGGCAGGGTACTGATGGGAATGCTCACTTCCACTCCAGGACTCTTGCTTCCTCCTTACATGGCCCATAAAAGTGAAGCTTGCGAGGTTGCCCGTCTTTGATAATACCTGTAGGTCCAAGCATCTTGCATCATAGAACCTAAGATCCCTTTATTCACTCACTCAGTGTAATATTGAACACTGTGCCAACATGCTGTTCTAAGTACAGGAGAGAAAGCAGTAAGCAGAACAGGGAAGATCCCTGTGCTTGCTCAAATTTGTATTTTAACAAGGCAAGGCAAGCAATACACAATAAGCAAAATATAGAGTGTGTTTCATGTGGTAAGTGCCATGCAGAAGAATAAAAGGGTAGGGGTGGATAAAGGAGGTTGGGTGTGGGTGATGCAGTTTTCAAGAAGAAAATCTTCTGAGACATTGGGCTTGGTGAAGAGTCCATGACACCAAAAGCATGACCTATGAAAGGAAAATCAATACATTGGACTTTATTAAAATTAAAAACATTTACTCCATGAAAGATCCTTTTAAGAGGATGAAAAAACAAGCTGCAGACTGGGAGAATAGATTTGAAACGCACGTATCTGATAAAGGACTCCGCTAGATTATATCAAGTGCTTTCAAAACTGAATATTAGGCCAGGAGTGGTGGCTCACGCCACCACTAAATGGCTAGTAATCCTAGCACTTTGGGAGGCCAAGGCTGGAGGATCACGAGGTCAGGAGTTCGAGACCAGCCTGGCCAGCATGGTGAAAGCCCATCTCTACTAAAAATACAAAAATTAGCCTTGCGTGTTGGTGGGCGCCTATAATCCCAATCTCAGGGGACTGAGACAGAAGAATTGCTTGAACCTGGGAGGCGGAGTTTGCAGTGAGCTTAGATTGCCCCACTGCACTCCAGCCTGGGTGACAGAGTGAGACTCTGTCTAAAAACAAAAACAACTCTGAAGGTTAAAACAAACAGTCCAATCAGGAAATGGGCAAAAGACATGAACAGATAGTTCACTGAAGAGGATATATGGATGGCAAATAATCTTATGAAACGATGTTTAATATCACTAGCCATTAAGGAAATGCAATGAAGACCATGCTGAGATATTACTATGTACCTATTAGAAGATGTAAAATCGCCGGGCGCGGTGGCTCAAGCCTGTAATCCCAGCACTTTGGGAGGCCGAGGCGGGTGGATCACGAGGTCGAGAGATCGAGACCATCCTGGTCGACATGGTGAAACCCTGTCTCTACTAAAAATACAAAAAATCAGCTGGGCATGGTGGCATGTGCCTGTAATCCCAGCTATTCAGAAGGCTGAGGCAGGAGAATTGCCTGATCCCAGGAGGCGGAGGTTGCGGTGAGCCGAGATCACGCCATTGCACTCCAGCCTGGGTGACAAGAGCGAAACTCCGTCTCAAAAAAAAAAAAAAAAAAAAAAAAAAAGAAGAAGATGTAAAATCAAAATTAGACACAATACCAAATGCTGGCAAAGATGTAGAGAAACTGGATCTTTCATATATTGCTGGTAGAAATATAAAATGGCACAGCAGCCACTCTGGAAAATAGTCTGGTAGTTTCTTTCAGAACTAAGCATACATTTACCAACAGCAGTTGAACTCCTGGGCATTTATCCTAGGGAAATGAAAACTTACATCTGCCCAAAAACCAGTATACAATTGATAGCAGTCTTACATAGAATAGCCCCAAACTGGAACAACCAAAAATGTCTGTCAATAGGTGAATGGTTAAACGAACTGGTATAGCCATCACCATGGAATGCTACCTAGTAATAAAAAGGAACATAATACTGATGGCTCTCGAGGGCATTACGCGGAGTGAAAAAAGCTGTTCTCAAAAGATCACACAGAAGGTGATTTCATTTATATAACATCTTCAAACTTGAAAGGTCATATATAGAGATGGAAAACACGAGTGGTTGCCCGGACTTCAGGCTGGGGGAGCAGGTTGAGTGACTCTAAAGGGGTCTCTTGAGATAGATCTTTGTGGCAATGGGACAGTTCTGGTGGGATGATCTGTCGGTTGCAGTCATGATTACACAAATATGTGCATGTGGTGAAATGACATAGAACTATGCACACATATTATACCAATTTCCTAGTTTTGATATTGTACTATAATTGTGCAAGATGTGACCATTGAGGAGAACTGGGTGAAGAGCACATGGGACCTCCCCGTACTATTTTTTCAACTTCCTATACATTTATAATCATTTTAAAATAAAGACCAGGCATGGGGGCTCACACCTGTAATCCCAGCATTTTGGGAGGCTGAGGTGGGTGGATCATATGAGGTCAGAAGTTCAATACCAGCTTGGCCAACATGGAGAAACCCTGTCTCTACTAAAAATATGAAAATTAGCTGGGTGCGGTGGCACACCTGTAATCCCAGCTACTTAGGAGGCTGAGGCAGGATAATCAGTTGAACCCAGGAGGTGGAGGTTGCAGTGAGACAAGATCACACCACTGCACTCCAGCCTGGGCAATACAGTGCGACTGTCTCAAAAGAAAATGAAATAAAATAAAAATAAATGGCCGGGCGCGGTGGCTCACGCCTGTAATCCCAGCACTTTGGGAGGCCGAGGGGGGTGGATCACGAGTTCGAGAGCTCGAGACCATCCCGGTCAACATAGTGAAACCCCGTCTCTACTAAAAATACAAAAAATTAGCTGGGCATGGTGGCGCGTGCCTGTAATCCCAGCTACTCGGGAGGCTGAGGCAGGAGAATTGCCTGAACCCAGGAGGCGGAGGTTGCGGTGAGCCGAGATCGCGCCATTGCACAACAGCCTGGGTAACAAGAGCGAAACTCTGTCTCAAAAAAAAAATAAATAAATAAATGAAAATTTAAAAAATATGTGTGTTACACATGACAATGCTATAGAGAAAAATAAAATAACAGTGGGAGTGGTAAGGGAGGCTGGGATGGGGGTGGTTAGGGAAGGGCTTACTGAAAAGGTAACATTTTAATAAAGTCTTAAAGGAGGTGAAAGCGTGAGTTGTGAGTCTCTGGGGGTAGATTGTGCTAAGAGAGAAGACAGCCTATGCAAACACACACTAAGACAGGTGTGTGCCTGGCATGTTCATGGACTACCTATGAGGCCATTGTGATGGGAACCTGGGCCGTGAGGGAGAGAAGATGGAGTCAGAGAAACAGTAGGGATAGAGAGGCAGAACATATCGGACAGTATGCCACTGTAAGGACTTTAGCTTTTTTTTTTTTGAGACAGAGTCTCACTCTGTCACCCAGGCTGGAGTGCATTGGTGCAATATCTGCTCACTGCAGCCTCCACTTCCTGGTTCAAGCGATTCTCCTGCCTCAGCCCTCCAAGTAGCTAAGATTACAGGTGTGCGCCACCACACGCAGCTAATTTTTGTATTTTTAATAGAAATGGGTTTCACCATATTGGCCAGGATTGTCTTGAACTCCTAACGTCGCGATCTACCCGCCTCAGCCTCCCAAAGTGCTGGCCGGGACTTTAGCTTTTTACACTGAATGAAATAGGGACTTTGAGCAGAGGAATGACATGTCTAACATGTCAGCTGTTCTGAAAGTTCATGCCGGGGGGCAAGTATGGAAGCCGGGAAACAGGAGCCTGTTGCAGAATCCCGATGAGATGACTGTGGCTTGGAAGAGGGTGGCAGAAGAGCGGGTGAAGAGAAGGGGCTTGATTTTTGACAGATTTTGAAGATAGTGCCTACAGGATTTTTTGATGGATCGGAAAAGGGGCGTGAGAGAAAGGAAGGAGTCGATGCCAGCAATTTTTGGCCTGAGCAACTGGAAGAAAGGTGTAACCTGTAGCTGAGAGAGGGAAAGCTATAGAAGGAGCAGGTTTGGGGATGGGGGAGCATGTTAACTCGGAGAGCTCCGTTAGACATTCAGGGAGAAAAGTGGAACTGGCAGCTGCATATGTGAATCTGGAGTTCAGGGGAGGGGCAGCATAGCTGGACCTAGAGACATAAAGGAGAGAGTCACTAGCATGTGGATCGTAATTAACACGATGAGTCTGGATGATACCAGTAAGGGAGTGAAGCAGGTAGAGAAGTAGAGAAGAGGAGGTTGGGCAGAAGAGCTAGGAAAGAAGTCTGTGGAAAAGAAGCCATATAATTTCAGGGCGATGGGAGTGGCCAACGGGGTTGAATGATGTTGAGAGTTAGGGAGAGCTGTCTCCTGGGTTTGGCCCAGTGGACATTCATGGGGATGGTGAAGAGTGAAGTCAGATACTGGAATAGTGGTGATCACCTGTACAAGCAGGCCCTTCTGTTCTCTCCCACCCCAGGAACATGCCATCAAGGTGCTCGAACTGATCTCCACCATCTGGGACACGGAACTGCACGTTGCGGGCCTCAGACTCCTCAACAACCTTCCGCTGCCCGACTATGTGCATCCGCAGTTGCGACGGGTGATGCCTGCCTTGATGGAGATCCTGCAGTCAGACTACATCCTGGCACAGGTGCCTGAGGACCATGGCCAGGGCCCTGCCTTGCTGACCAGCCCCAGCGAAGCATTCAGAGGGAGGAGGAGCAGAGGTTTTTGTCTTCCTTGTACAGGCCCAGACTCACCTGCCTTCTCATGCTTTACTCTTTCCTTTATTCAGGTGCAAGCCGTACGTCTCCTGAGCTACCTGGCACAGAAGAATGACCTTCTCTATGACATTCTCAACTGCCAGGTGAGAAAGAAATTGAAGAGGGCCTGATGAATACCAACTCAGGTATTGTGGGGAGGGAAGAATCGTGACATCTCCAGACAGATTTACCCCTGATGAATTATTTTATGTCTTTTCCTGCCTCTGCACTAAATGCATTGAAACCCGTCCCTCTTCTGTTCCCCCGAGTAGAAGGAGACTCCATATGTTGGAAGGGGGATTCCCCTTTGAGGAGTTTCCTGAATTCTGAGAGTTAGGAACACAGGAGACAAAAGTTAATGTAGGTATTTTAATAATGGGGGGAAATGACTATGGCAAAGAGCATTATTAGGGATAGACAAGATTAGTCTGTGATAATCAGTGGTTCAGTTCATCAGAACAGTAGGGCAACTCTAAACTTGTATGCACCTAATAACATAGTCTCAAAATATATATGACAAAATCGAAAGGAGAAATTAACAAATTAACCACTACAATTAACAAATATACCACTACAGTGGGAGATCTGGAATTTTTTTTTTTTTTTTTTTTTTTTTGAGGAGGAGTTTCGCTCTTGTTTTTTTTTTTTTTTTTTGAGACGGAGTTTCGCTCTTGTTACCCAGGCTGGAGTGCAATGGCGCGATCTCGGCTCACCGCAACCTCCGCCTCCTGGGCTCAGGCAATTCTCCTGCCTCAGCCTCCTGAGTAGCTGGGATTATAGGCACGCGCCACCATGCCCAGCTAATTTTTGTATTTTTACTAGAGACGGGGTTTCACCATGTTGACCAGGATGGTCTCGATCTCTTGAGCTCGTGATCCACCTGCCTTGGCCTCCCAAAGTGCTGGGATTACAGGCTTGAGCCACCGTGCCCGGCCGATCTGGAATATTTTAACCACTCTTGCAGCAACTGATAGATAAGAAAACTAAAACTAGTGAGGATATACTCCTAATGAATAACACAAATAAGCTTGAGCCATTAGACATAGCCAGAACAGGATTAAATGCATAGTCCTGTCAAGCACACACACAATATTTGTGAAAATAAGTCACACATTAAGCCTTGAAGTTTGTCACAACAAATTTTCCAGAATGAATATTACCATATCACTCGTGTTTTATGATCACAAGGCAATTAAATTAGAGGACGGTAATAAAAGAAAAACTAAAAAAATTACTATACACTTAAGTCTGAAATTTAGATATATTGGGGAGTTTAGGCAGTAGGAGGTTACGAGAACAAGATTTTAGAACTTGCCTATGAGTTCATTCCCATTCTCTCTCTATTCTCATCACAGGTTCACTCCAACTTCCTAAGCCTGTTCCAGCCCACACAGCCAGGGAGTATCCTGTATGAGGTACTGGTGTTTGCTGAGCGGCTGAGTGAGGGCCGGAATGCACCCCACTACCGTGCTGTGAAATGGCATTACAACGAACAGTCCCTGCATGAATCCCTCTTTGGGGAAGAGTCGCGGCTGGCAGACCGACTGCTTGCCCTGGTCATCCACCCTGAGGAGGATGTTCAGATCCAGGCCTGCAAGGTCATCGTCAGCCTGCAGTATCCCCAGGACTTGAGAGCCCGGTCCTCCACCTGCCAGTCCAGTCGTTCCTACTTTAAAAACACGGAATAAAATTAAGGAGAGCCAATAAATGACTATGAGAGAGAAACTTGAAGTTTCTTGAAGCTTGGATGTTTGTCAGTGGCCTTCCAGGGCTGGGTAGAGATTTCATTCAGCATAATCTCTGCTCTAGCATTTGGCACAGCACAGGCTTATCTCTCAGAACACATCCCCACTTCCATGTCTGGGGGACTGGCTCTCCTCTTCTCTTGCTGCTTTTCTTTTTCTTTCTTTTTTTTTTGAGACAGAGTCTCCGTCTGTCACCCAGGCTGGAGTACAACGGCATGATCTCGGCTCACTGCAACCTCTGCCTCCCACGTTCAAGTGATTCTTCTGCCTCAGCCTCCCAAGTAGCTGGGACTACAGGCACCCACCACCATGCTAGGCTAATTTTTGTATTTTTAGTAGAGATGGGGTTTCGCCATGTTGGCTAGGATGGCTCTTGCTGCTTTTCAAATCAGGGGGTTAGAAGAAGGCAAGCTTGGGGATTGAAGGCAAAGATAATCAACAGGACACAGTATAGCGTTAGATTAGTTAGGATGTGCCAGGCTATGCCGCAGTAACAACACACACCTCAGTGGCTTAAACATGGCAAAGGTTAATTCTTGTTTACACTGCACGCCCAGTGCAGATCAGCTCAGGGGTGGAAGGGCAGGCTTCTGCTCCACAGCACCCTCATACAGATAACCAGGCTGAGGGAGGCTTCTTCATTGTGTTTCTACAACTATTACAGAAGGACAGGGAATGTGGCAGTGATAACTGTCACCACTTCAGCTCACATCTCATTAGCCAAAGCGGGTAAGGAAGATCATTCTTGCCATGTGTCCCAGGAAGAACTGATGATACTTGGTGACAGCATGAATGACAGAGAGCTGCAGGCATACTCTGGGTCAGAAAGGGAGCTCTGGAGTCAGAGTGCTGGCTTCCAGTCCCAGCTCTGTCATTTCTAACCGTGTGACGTCAGGGACCATTAATCCTATTTGAGCTTCAGGCCCCTCATCTGTAAAATGCATATAAGAATAGCACTTATTTCATGAGGCTTTTGGGAGAATTAAAGAGGGATGAGATAACGAACGTTAAGGCACAGCGTTCTGCATTCATTTCTCAAAGATGTGCTCTGAGGAGCTATAAAATCATTACTGAGAAAACGAAAGATCCGCACTGGGGAGGTGCTTGGAGGGTGTTGCTTCCAGCGTTTCTCCAGTCTCTTCAGGTTAGAGTCCTAGAGGTCTCCATGAAGCACCCTGAAACGTCATTGAAACTTAGCTTTGGAAACCAGAACAATGGTGTGAGTAACACCATAACCGTGAAGTTTCCAGAAACAAACCAAATACGGTCACTCATTTTCCGATTTTCCCATTTATTTGCATTTCCCATTTTTGATTCATTTTTGTTGTTGTTGTTTTTGAGATGGAGTCTCGCTCTGTTGCCCGGGCTGGAGTGCAAGGACTTGATCTCGGCTCACTGCGACAAGTGATTCTCCTACCTCAGCCTCCTGAGTAGCTGGGATTACAAGCATGTGCCACCACGCCCAGATAATTTTTGTATTTTTAGTAGAGATGGGGTTTCACCATATTGGTCAGGCTGATCTCAAATGCCTGACCTCGTGATCTGCCTGCCTCAACCTCCCAAAGTGCTGGTATTACAGGCGTGAGCCACCATGTCTGGCCCATTCATTGTTTTATCTGTGAGTCCTTGCTGGGAAGCAGTCGTGCCTGCTAAGAAAATCCTATGGGAGGGAAACCTAAGGTTGGAGCCATTCCCAGCCTGCCACTGCTCAGTCAAGGACACAGAACCTGGTCCAGCCACAGGCTCCCAGTGTTCTGCAGAAGCAGGATTTGAAAAACAGCCTCATCCAGGACCAACCCTAGCATTTTCCTGAAAGGAAAACAAACCCAAAAAGGAAAAGCAGGCTGGGCATGGTGGCTCATGCCGGCAATCCCAGCACTTTGGGAGGCTGAGGCGGGCAGATCACCTGAGGTAGGGAGTTCGAGACCAGCCTGGCCAACATGGTGAAACCCCATCTCTACTAAAAATACAAAAAAAAGCTGGCAACCCACTGCAGCCTAGACCTTTTTGGAACCATACCAGCCTTTGGTTTATCCTGCAGCACTGCTCATCTGAACCTCTCACTTGGCATTTAGCAAATTAAAGCTTGAATCTTATATACCTTGTTATTTTATTTCTTTTTTGTTGTAGGACATATTTTTTGTTTGTTTGTTTTTGAGATGTAGTCTCACTCTGTTACCCAGGCTGGAGTGCAGTGGTATGATCTTGGTTCACTGCAACCTCTGCATCCCCAGGTTCAGGCAATTCTCCTGCCTCAGTCTCCTGAGTAACTAGTGTAAGGGTCATTGCCGAGTTTAAAATGAGGAAACTGAGGCCAGAATAAGAAAATTAAATGCCAATTTATTCAGCTCCGGGGCGAGGTTCTCTGGTAGGGGAAAGGGGGCCAGAGAAGTTGCGCTGACTTCCTGGGGTGTGGGGTTTTTATGGCTTGGAGGAACGAGCAACAGCTGGGTGCTCTGACTGGGTCCAGGGGAGCAGGATTGAGATGGGGCGGGCTGCTATTGGTTGGCGGGTTGTTGGAAGGGTTTTCCAGTGTGAGAGCCGGCCAGGGTTGCATTAGCTGGAGCCTTCCAGGGGAGCCATGCGGCAGAGCTAAGTGCAGAGTCAGGTGCTGCGTGCAGAGGTCGGTGTGTCCGACCTCCCCGGCAAGGCAACCGGCCTTACATTCTGACCCTTTTGATCATATGGGACACCGCTTCTTTCTGGCTACTTCCTGCTGAATAGGGGCAGAGTGAGGGAGAAGGGTCAGTTGGCTGGTGCCCCGGTTGGGAGTCGGACTTTACAACTAGGATTACAGGCGCCTGCCACCATGCCCAGCTAATTTTTTTTTTCTTTTTTTTTTGAGATGGAGTCTGTCTCTGTTGCCCAGGCTGGAGTGCCGTGGGCACAAAATCGGCTCACTGCTACCTCCACCTCCCAGGTTCAAGCAATTCTCCTGTCTCAGCCTCCCAAGCAGCTGGGATTATGGGTGCACACCACTATGCCTGGCTAAATTTTGTATTTTTAGTAGAGACTGGGTTTCACCATGTTGGCCAGGCTGGTCTCAAACTCCTGACCTCAAGCAATCTGCCTGCTTCAGCCTGCCAAAGTGCTGGGATTATAGGCATGAGCCACCATGCCCGCCTGCCTGCAGTAGGACATATCTGACTGCTTATCAAAGCCTTGAAGGAAGAGCCTGCTCAGGGCAGGCACATGATAGCAATTGGCTGATGGTAATGAAAGGAATTGGCGGTGAGCAGATCAGATGGGAGTGGTGTTTTAGTTATCTGTTGCCATGTAACAAAATTATGAGAAAACTTACAGGTTTTTTCAGTCTGGGTCTGATCAAGAGAGAAACCTCACAGTAATTTAACAGGAAATTTCTATATAATTATTAAAACAAGGGATGGAGTAACAAAGAATTGGTTAGTAAAGAGTTATGAGAACCCTACAGAATAATGAATAGCTGACATGAGGAGCAGGCTGTACCTCCCAAGGTTGAGATACAGCACCCAAGAAAGAGATACCCTCTCCCGACCCAGGGCTGAGACCCAGACTTTGCAGTAGAGCACAGCCCACAGCTCACGAGGTGGCAGAAAAGTCACCGTACTGTCATGCCAGTGGATCTCGCCAGAAATATGCCCTCTAGGATGCCAGGGAAAGCTCTTCCCAGGGAAGTGTGGAACCAGAGACTTTCCACTACAGAGCTAACCAAGTGGGGTGCAGGGGAAGCTGCTGCCCACTGGAGGCTTCTGGCCTTCATGTGCTGCCGGAGCTGGCACTGGAGAGACTGTGGGTGCTGCAGGAGCCTGATGCTGGAGAAGCCATCTGCACACAGGTGCTGTGTGAGACAGAAGTTGGAGGCATTCTGCTTACACTACAGCCCAAGGTGGGCAGTGCCAGAAGCTGCTAGCCGCTGGGCGTTGCTGGCTACTCCAGGGACCGGGTGCTGAAAGCTGTTTGCACAGCAGGAGCCTGTAAATCAAGCACACTGGAACCAGGAAGCAAGAAACGGTTTTCCTCCCACAGTGTCTCTCCAGCTCCCTTCCTCTTAATTTAAATATTTAAATATCAATAAACATACGTTATCTCTCACAGGAATTTTTTTTTTTTTTTTTTTTTTTGAGACAGAGTTTCGCTCTTGTTACCCAGGCTGGAGTGCAATGGCGCGATCTCGGCTCACCGCAACCTCCGCCTCCCGGGTTCAGGCAATTCTCCTGCCTCAGCCTCCTGAGTAGCTGGGATTACAGGCACGCGCCACCATGGCCAGCTCATTTTTTGTATTTTTAGTAGAGACGGGGTTTCACTATGTTGGCCAGGATGGTCTCGATCTCTTGACCTCATGATCCACCCGCCTCAGCCTCCCAAAGTGCTGGGATTACAGGCTTGAGCCGCCCGGCTTCATCTCACAGGAATTTGAGAGCATCTTGACCCGGTAGTTCTGGCTCAGTCAAGCTGTGGTTACAGTCACGCTTTTGTCAGGGACTGTTATTTGAAGGCTTGACTGGGGCTGGAGGATCCCCCTTCACGACAAAGCACTTATGGGACTGACAGGTTGCTGCCAGCTGTTGGCAGGAGACCTCAGTCTCTCTACACGTGGGCACCTCCACAGGGTTGTTTGAGAGTCTTCACGACATAGCAACTGGCTTCACTAATAGTAAATCATCCAAGAGAGAACAGAGCAGATGTTGCAATGTCTTTTCTGACCTAACCTCAGAAGTCACACACTGTCATTTCCACCACATTCTATTCATTAGAAGTCAGTCTCATTAATGGGGGAGGAGAAAAACAAACAAACAAACGAAAACAAAAAAGAAGTCAGTCTAGTCCCCATTCAAAGGAAGGGAATTAGGCTTTACCTATTAAAGAGAAGAGGATCGCCGGGCACGGTGGCTCAAGCCTGTAATCCCAGCACTTTGGGAGGCCGAGGCGGGTGGATCACAAGGTCAAGAGATCGAGACCATCCTGGTCAACATGGTGAAACCCCGTCTCTACTAAAAATACAAAAAATTAGCTGGGCATGGTGGCACGTGCCTGTAATCCCAGCTACTCAGGAGGCTGAGGCAGGAGAATTGCCTGAACCCAGGAGGCAGAGGTTGCGGTGAGCCGAGATCGCGCCATTGCACTCCAGCCTGGGTAACAAGAGTGAAACTCTGTCTCAAAAAAAAAAAAA